TACTTCTCTAGAATTTTGTCAGAATGAGAAGTATAAGGAGGCTGGTTGGTTGGTCCAATTTTGCTAGACAAAGTGGTAAAAGAAAGAGATGAGCTCAGGGCTTCAGAATCACAGTTCAAGTGTTGCATAAATGACCTCAAAGTTGCCACTTGGGCCCTGAAAGAAAGCCTTGTTTCTTGTAGTAATAGAGCTGATATTGCCGAAAACCAAACACAAAGTCTTATCATAAGAGTGGCTGAATTACAACACCAACTGAATTCCCAACCCTGAATGGTGTCTGAAGTTGAAGTAAGAGCATTGACTGAAACTTGGGATGTGGACATATGGGCAGATTATCAGGATGCTGGCCAAAACCGAGCTCCTAAATTACACTGAATCACTCCTGCCAACAGAACCACCCCTCTCACTCCCATCTGAAGAGATTACTCCATCTTTGTCTGCTAAACCACCCTTCACAGTAAAACCTTAGCCCCTCCACCTCCATCTGGTGAGATTAACCCAACTGTGTCTGAAGAGCCTTTGTCTGAGATATCATGTGGGGCAAGGTCTGAGTCATTGCCTGGGGCATTGCCTGAGGCAGATGCTTTACAAGACATTTGCTGAATGTTTTCAAAACACAGCCCCACCACCCATTTTTGCTTCTAGACCTATAACTAGACTTAAGTCCCAGCAAGCCCTAAAAGGTGAAGTACAAAGTGTGACCCAGGAGGAGGTATGCTACACTTCAAAAGAACTGTTTGACTCTTCTAATATGTACAAATAGAAACCTGGGGAATATGTGTGGGAATGGCTATTAAGGGTGTGGGATAATGGTGCAAGGAACATAAAGTTGGATCAATCTGAGTTTATTGACATGGGCCACTAAGAACAGACTCTTCATTCAATGTTTCAGCTCAAGGGGTTAGGAAAGGATCTAATAGTTTATTTGGTTGGTTAGCTGAAGCATGGATTATGTGACTGCTTATATTAAAACAAGTTCAAGTACCAGACAGATCTGCCTTGGTATACTGCAGAAGATATCTAAAGGCTTAGGGAAATTGGCATGTTAAGAGTGGATTTATCAGGTTAGACCCAAAGACCCACACATGGAGTGCCCAGAGAACACAGCTTTTACCACAATTTTGAGGAATAAATTTGTGAAGGGAGCCCCAGCATCCTTGAAGATTGCTGTGATTGCTATTTTATTAAGTCAGACTTGACAGTGGGAACTGCCCTAACTTAATTAAGACACCTAACTACGATGAGGCAGATTGGACACCATGGTGGTAGGGGCCAAATGGTGGCACTCAGTCAACAAGGTGGGTGTGGTTAGTGTAATGGACGGCATCCAATATGTGGGGCTGTTTCTCCTATAGCCAGGATTCAGGAATCCTGGGTTCAGGAATCATGAGGTGGAATTGGGAGCGGCACCATTCACTACTACCTCTAGTGACTCACTCACAAAATTTTTGTTCCTATCCCCATGACCTTATGTTTTGTGAATCTAGAAGTCTTAGTTCCAAAGGGAAGCATGCTCCCACCAGGAGACCAAACAATGATTCCATTGAACTGGAAAATAAGAATGCCACCCAGCTACTTTGGGCTCCTCATGCCTCTGGATCAACAGGCAAAAAAGGGAGTTACTGTATCGGTAGGTGTGATTGATCCTGATTATCAAGAGGAAATCAGACTGATATTACATGAAGGAGGTAAAGAAGAGTATGTCTAGAATACAGGAGATCCCTTAGGGCATCTCTTAGTACTATCATTCCCTGTGATTAAAGCCAAGGTAAAACTACAGCAACTCAATTCCTACACGACTTCTAATGGCCCAGACCCTTCAGGAATGAAGGTTTGGATCACCCCATCCGGCAAAGAACCACAACCAACTGAGGCGCTTTCTGAGGGCAAAGGGAATACAGAATGGGTGGTGGAAAAGGGTAGTTCTAAATACCAGTTACAACCACGTGATCAGTTGCAGAAAGGAGGACTGTCTTTGTTATGAGTATTTCTTCCTTGTATGTGTGCATCAAATATTTTTGTTTTCTTCACTTATAAAATATAAAATGTATGAAGGGCTAGTGTGTTTTTGGTTGTATGCATGTTAGTTGTATCATGTTAAGTGCAAGTATGACTTTGTAATTGTCTTTATTTAGAGATTGTGTATGGTTTAAGGAGCGCTGGTGGCACAGTGGTTAAGAGCTTGGCTGCTAACTAAAATGCTGGCAGTTCAAATCCACCAGCTGCTCCTTAGAAAGCCTATGGGGCAGTTCTCCTCTGTCCTATAGGGTCGTTATAAGTTGAAATTGACTTGACAGCAATGGGTTTGGTTTTTCAGTTTTTAGTATGGTTTAAGGAGATGTGCACAGGGGCCAAGTTGATAAGGGGTAGACTGTGATGGTTAAGGTTGTGTATCAACTTGGCTGGGATGTGATTGATTCTCATAGTTTGGCAGTTATGTAATGATGTAGTTATCCTCCATTTTGTGCTATAATGTAATCACCTCCATGATGTGATCAGCCAAAGCTTGCTGGCTTTTGCTCTCTCTGGAGCCTGCATCCAGCTCGTCACCATCTGAATTCTGGTTCTTGGGACTTGAGGGAGTGGCCTGCCATATTGCCTGCCGATCTTGGGATTCATTGGCCTCCACAGCCTATGAGCCAGCAGCCTGGCATCTGATCTGCTGATGTTGGGTTCGTTAGCCTCTGCAGCTATGTGAGCCAGAAGCCTCCAGCCTGATGCCTGACCTATGGATTTTCCAGCCTTTACAACTGTGTGAGCCATTTCCTTGAGATAAATCTCTCTCTCTCTATGCTTCACTGGTCTTGCTTCTCTAGAAAACCCAGCCTAAGACACCATGGTTCATGTAGACTATTAGCGCTGTATACTAATTTCTTCTTTGAGTTTGAGTTTGGTTTCCTTATTTCTCTTTTCCTCTGGAGAAACAGAGACCAGTAGTTGTATCTTAGATGACCACTTGCAAGCTTTTAAGACCCTGGACACTACTCACTAAACTATTATGTAGAATGTAACTTTTTGAACTATATTATGCCAATTGACTGAGATGTCCCATGAGACTATGGTCCTAATCCTTCAGACCCAGGAGACCAATCCCACGAGGTGTTTGGTTATGTCTAAGCAGCATCTGTATTTGTGCCCCTATGTGCTTTTTTATATACATGAATATCTATAGGGTTTTCATTTGCTGAGTTTTGGAAGTGGATTATCAGGCTTTTATTTCTAGAAAGCCAGGCTCTTCTTCCTAGTCTTTCTGAGTCTGAAAACTCCAGTCAGCATTATAGCAACATGTATGCCTATACTGACAGACGAGACAGGTAGTGGTTGTGCTTGAGGGTATATGGCCGGAATTGAACTCGTGCCATCTGCATGGAAGGTGAGAATTCTAGCACGGAACCTCCATAGGTGAGCTTAGGCAAATCTTTTAACCTCTGCAGGTTAAGACCTCTAGGTCTCTAAGGATTCTCTTCTAACATGAACTTGCAATTAGTTGAGCGGCCTCTAGATGGTGCTGTTGTTATAAATTAGGCTTTGTATTGCGTATCCCTAGACTTCAAGGCAAAGGGTTTGTCTTTTTGGGTATTAATACAGTGAAATGAAAAGTCATAGGTTAGAAAATGATTTCCCATTAGTTCTGAAAAAAATTACTGTTAAGAGTTCATTCACTGGCATTCAAAATGGCATGAATTATGAATCATATGACCCATGTGCATTTGGCATTAATTAAAAGGAATAAACCATTAATAATTGTCCTGAAGTGAACACATCCCCTTATAATTAGTCCATATATCCATCACTATTTTCTCTAAGTATATTTATCTAAGTTTAAAAAACGGAATAAAAAATAAACAATTATTGTTAAAAGTACTAGTTTATAACTAACCCTATACAAAAATGATATTTTTTCAAATGCCTGTTCTAATAATCAATTTTGATAAATGCAATGATTTTTTTCATTCTGAATATTTCTGACTGTATTGAAAATCTGTGATTTCCATGAGTGCAGTGACAGACATATTAACATTAACCCTCTTCCCATTCAGCCAGGTAAACACGGGCATCTTTTTTTTACTTTAAAAAAAAATTTTTTTATTGAACTTTAGATGCAGGTTTACAGAACCAACTAGCTTCTCATTAAACGGTACATATATTGTTTTATGACATTGGTTAGCAGCCCCATGACATGTCAGTACTCTCCCTTCTCAAACCTGGGTTCCCTATTACCAGGTTTCCTGTCCCCTCCTGCCTTCTAGTTCTTGCCCCTGGGCTTGTGTGCCCCTTTAGTCTCATTTTGTCCTATGGGTCTGTCTAATCTTTGGCTAAAAGGTGAACCTCTGGAGTGACTTCATTACTGGGCTAAAAGGGTGTCTGGGGGCCATACTCTTGGGGTTTCTCCAGTCTCTGTCAGGCCAGTAAGTCTGGTCTTTTTTTTTTTAGTTAGAATTTTGAACAAGGGCATCTTTTCAAGAAATCTGCTGTCTTTAGTGTTCAAAAGGGTAGGAACAATATATTAAATAGCTTCTCTAATTCTAACCTACCAAAGAAAAAGGATTTGGAAATTCTTGTTTTAGGAGGCTTAGATAAACATTATCAGATTTTCACCTAAAATTCCTGAAAGAAAACAGAACACACTCTTATTTCTCTCCTGTGAAAGCAACTAAGTACAAATCTGACTGAATCTCCTTAAACTTGATTGAGTCTTGCCTTGAATTCAATCAATACATAGAACAAGAAAGTACCTATGAAAACTCATAGCTCCATTCTGGTTTTCTGTCTGTTCAGTGAGCAATAAATGTGTAAGTAAAAAATAGAGCAAGACAAAGTGAAATGACATCTGATAAAACAGTGAATTTTATTTCAATATTGATTTTTGTCAACAAATTAGAGAGGAATGATATTAAGTGGATTTAAGATAGTATTTGCTGTATTGAAAGTTCTTCATCAATTTAATCCATTGATCCATCGATCCCTCAATGGATCCATCCATGCATCCATCCATACATGCAACCAATCAACCAACCTTTATTAGGGGATACAAAGATAAATAAGATACCATTTCAATTCTCAAAAATCTCAGTCTAGTATGAGAAAGGGACTTGGAAAAGTTCGGTTCAGTTTATTATAATGTCAAGTAGATTCACAACTATTGCACTTATCATTCTGCTGACAGAAGGCGAAAATTTAAGAGGGTTATTTTTCTCAATAAAGCTAGGTTATCATAATTTTTAATTTAAGATGTTACAATTACCCAGGCAAAAATATATACCTCACGTCTCATACCATACCCCTCACTTCCTGCTGTTACAGCTGAGAATTTATTTCTCATGAGTGAAAACTGACTTATATGAGTGAAATTTGACAAGAGTTTTCCTTATATTGACTTCTTTACCCCAAACATGTAGGAAGCTCAGCCCTCATACTCCAAGACCAAATGTAACCACATAACCGGGAGATGAACTTTAATCAAAGACAAAGAAAACATCGCTTTCCTTACAGAAGCCCATGTGGTTGGCGTTGGCATATAACAGTTTGACCACTGGCTGCCTAACTTTTTGAACAATGGGAAACAATAACAAAAGCTAAAAAGTGACCCAGCATATGAAACTCTTCTCAAAAATAGAAGAAAGGCATGCACATTGTTGGGAAAGTGTTTTCCATTTCCAATGAAATTCTATTCCATTGATCTGTTTGCAAGATTGTCTTCGACCTATTTGGCTTTAGCTCATAAACTGTAATTGATTCAGTCATATAAAGAACCACTTTTTATCTTAAGCCTGGAATACATAATAATGGATAGCAGGAAGGTGTTTTTTTATTTACTCTAATAATTGTATAGGGATGAGCAGGTAAAAAAGGAAGAAAAAAAGTCCTAGCCTTCAGTCCTCTTAAATTATTTCTCATTCTGATTATATTGGGAAGAAATTAGCAGTGGGGGCTGGTAATTGTTTTCCATCTTAACAGTTGCTCTGTATTCTAAGATTTAATATGTGGTTCATAATGTACTACCATTAAATGACACAGCTTTTATGTATTACTGGAGTAACACAAAGAAAATGAATTTTTCTTTGGGCACCAGTAATTGTCAAAGGAATGATTGCAGATTCAGAAAACGTGCTTTGTAATAACCCTGTTAACATAAAGTACACATCAAGGAAAGAAATAAGTATGGCAGGTATGTAAGAGAGTTAGTTGTATTAGCAAGGCATTGCAGGGATGGCTTTGGATCTTTTGACTAAGTAAGATACATCAAATTTTGACCCTCTTCAAATCCTAGGACATATGGGAAACAGTAACACAAGAAGCATTTGGTGAGCGTGCGCTGATTTCCACCATGTGCTTACAAATGCTCGAACTAGCAATAAGCTATCCCGTCCTGAAGCAAGGGTTTGCCTCAGTAATAAGGATATGCGCTCAAGCTGTTAGAATTAATTTGAATATGAAAAATGAAATTTAGATTACCAACCACGTCCTGATAGTTACAGCATGTAGAATGTCAACCGTCCTCTTTTTAAACTAAAGTAAAAAACGAAGAAGCATGGTTAATTCACTTGTGCTGATTCAAACAGATGTCCGAGTGCAAATGCTGTGTGTAAGCCTCCCATTGCACCATGTCACCAGGTGCTTTCTCTGGGGGATACTGTATCTGCCTTGCTAATCTTGCTTGCTGTTTTCCTTGGGACAATCCTTGGCTCATGGGTTTCCATATGTGTGTTGCTACTGTGAATGAAAGCTAAATACAAAAACTAGAAGTTTTCTGCTTTCAGAAAATTCTAGTGTACCATGTACAGTGTAGGTATTTCTTTCCGTTAAAAAAAAGATAGTGCAAAACCAAATCTGATAGTCAAAGTGATAGTTCAAGTGAGTTCTTGTGCCAAGGAACCCAACCAAGCTTCACCTTTAGCTGACTTGTAGAAACTGAACGTAGTTTTTGGGAAATATACCAGATTTTCCCATTAGTTCTCCGCTCATCCAATCCTTATCCACAGATTTCAGCTCTGTTATTATATCTCCAGCCTGTAAGAAGAGAGGAATTGGAAATAATTATTGTTTTCTGCTAAGTATAGGATTCCCTGGGTGACACAAATTGTTATGTGCTCAGCGACTAACCAAAAGGTTGGCGGTTTGAGTCTACCCAGAAGCATCTTGGAAAAAAGGCCTGGTGATCCACTTCTGAAAGATCACAGCCATTGAAAACCCTATGGAGCAGTTCTAGTCTGACACACACGGGGTTGCCATAAATCGGAATTGTCTCAAAGACAACTTTTTTTTTTTTTTTAATTTGTTGACTGTAAGCATGGTGGGAGCCCTGGTTGCGCAGTGGTTAAGAGCTCGGCTGCTAACCAAGAGGCTGGAGTTCGAATCCACCAGCTGCTCCTTAGAAACCCTATGCAGCAGTTCTACTCTGTCCTATATAGGGTCGCTATGAGTCGGAATGGACTCGACGGCAACGGGCATAAGCATGGTGAGCAGTCCACCTAAAGAGGTATGAATAATCTTCTCCTTGTATAACTCATTTATCTTGATTTACTGAAAGGGTTAAATGATATACCACAAAGGTGATCTACGCCTAATGATACCATTTGCTTTTATGCCTCTTTTCCTCAGCCCACTCCTTTACCATTGTCAGCCTTGTCGCACTTTGACTGTCCTGTCCGTGACGTTCTTGGTCTCGTACACTACCACTTCTAATCTAAAATTAAAATCTTTTTGAGTAAATAACAATACCAGCTATCATACA